CTGTTGCTGCCGCATACTTGTCGATAGATGGCAATTATTAATTTTCGCAAACCATGGCGAATCGATATTAGACTACTAGACGTAGCTTAGATAATTTCCCGCCCCATGTGTTGGAAGTTGCAGCTTGTTAACTAGTATACAGTTTAGTTTACCATACACAGTCGCAAATTGCATGGTGATTGAAGTTTCGGTTATTACTCTCGCCACCTTGAATTGAAGCCAAATGTTATGAACATATAACTAAAGACTCGATTACTAATTCTCTCAGTTTAAGATGAAATACTTAAAAAACAACTAAAAAGGAGAGATACTGCTACCTAAGAAATTTAGAATATAATTTATCATACACGTTACTATAAAGCATAGTAACTGAAACCTTAATACTGTGCCTCGCTATCTTGTATTAAAATTTCAAACTAAATAAAAAAGGAACGAGGTACTCCAAGCTAAGGAATTTTCCCGCGTGACAGTAGAGAAGAAATTTCTCGAGTCGCGAAACTTTTGAATTAATCTTGCGTAGACTGGTGAACAAAGGACCGAAGAATATTTTCATTAGCTGTGCATTATAAAGTGACTGCATCGTTATTAAACTATCTACCCGCGCAAACATTTGACGCCGGTAATTGCTCGCCGTCACTTGCATCGGGTCACTTTACACCCCAGACAATAAATGCTCGCCGACCTTTTAATCTTTAAATATTTGCTGTTGCGACGGGACCAAGCACAAATTTCATTCCCACCGATGCTTTCGCTCTTGAAACGAGTTCGATCGGTCTCGAGAGTCAGCTGTAACTTACGGGCGACACGTTTCTTTTTCCAAAGCTCGTCGAACGTGTTCGAAATTACGCTTCTGTGTTACGTAGATCAACCTCGATTGCAGCTGTTTGCTGGCACCTTCCAGGCGCAACGAGCACCACTTCAAAGTTTAGCTTTTGCTACCAATTTGTATTTCGTTCGCTTCAAAACACCGCGATAACAATAACATTTGTCGTGTTTCACATTGTACGGCGAACTTTTTAGCTGTTATCAAACAGCCGATTTCGTTAAATGTTTTTCTACCGACAGCCATCGAGTAACATCAATATAAAATTAAACGATTGTATAAAATAAAATGTTTAATTAGATAGTTTCAGATTTGTAACAAGAATAGTTTCAATGATCTAATTGCATTCTCATAGATTAGCGATAAGTGTCGCATATCAATAAAATTCAACTTTCGCTGTCAATTCGTATTCCGCTCGGTTTGAAACATCAAACAATATTAAAATTTGAATATAAACTAGAATTTATAAAATTAGTTGTCTTTATATTAGACAGTAACAATATTTCATTTGAAGTGCATTTATTGAATTACGGTGCTGACTGTCGTAAACTGTCTATCATTCCTAAATATCGTATACTAACAAACAACATTCTTTAATTTTTCTACCAATTAGTACCTTGTTCGCCACGAAACATCAAATAATAATAAAATTCGTCTCTAAAATAAAACGAAATATTGAATTAGACGTTCTCAGATTTGAACCTAATCTAGTTACAATGCTGACTCTGATACATCGTTCATCGTCCCCAAGTTGCGCGATATTGACGCGATTAGAGCGATATTGCGTCGCGAGCTCGACAAAAATAGAGCTGTCGCTATTTCTGTTGTCGTTATCGCTACCCATTATCGTAACCGTAACCGTTATTGTCCTGAAATCGCGTACGGGTCCGTGCAGCCCCGTTGAAATCCCATTAATGACGCTCGAGCGGCTTCGAAGCATCGCGATATTCGGGGCAATGTTCGAATCTGCGTCAATCGGCGCGATGCAATTATGACAGCCGATCGGAAACGAAGTTCAAAAAAATGACCTCGATAGGCACTTCACGTCCGAGCGTGGAATAGATATGCTAAATTTCGGTGGCGCGTGTACGCGCCGATATCGTTCGGCCGCCATCACACCGGCCACTCTCTTGCCGACAGATTTATCCGGCATTTCCGCCGGATATCGCACGCACCATTGAGTGACGCGTCCGACCGGTTATCTGCGCGCTGGTTCTCGTCGAAACTTCCGCCGAGAAATCGTTGTCGCAGTGAGAATTTCAAACGAGCTCAACGAAACGCTAAGAGATGTGATTTGTTGCCAATTGCGGCGTTAAAATGCTTTAATACGAAATTATTCATTGGTACGGATGTATCTAAGAGCAGAATGGTTACCGCGATTAACCAAAATCTGCGAGTTTTCTAGAGGGTTGAAAGATTGAATTTTCTATCTGGGAAAAATAATACGTTGAAAATGCAATGAAAGGGAAGATACGAATTATCAGAAATTCTCAAAGCTTCAGACAATACAGCTGATGTTAGAGCTATTGATCTCGATTAAATATGATAGATAGAAATAACACTAACATCGTAATAAATTCATGAGGAAATTATATTGTGTTTTATGAAAGACTCACCCATACGGATACGCAACAATGTCTCAGAACAATTCTTTTCTTAAGGTGTTACAAATTTAATGGCGACGTTATCTCTCAAAGGGGAGCAAAATCTTGGAAGGGACAAGAGACCAGGCTATTTAACAGGTCGGCCGGCAGACGTGTAAACTGCTTTTAACAGAAGCTTTAAACTTGCCTCTTTGTCTTACCAGCCGAAACTGTCTCAAAGTTCCATCCTCTTTCGCTTCAAACTCAATTACATCGCTACCAGAGTTGGCTCCGTCTGCCAGCGTTGTGAAGCAGCGAAACTCGGTAGAAGGGGGG